CTCTCTCTCTCCCCCCCCCCCAGAGAAGCCCAAATTCGCTGGTTGATCAGAGTCGAGCTTCCTCTGGGGATTCCAAATTCCTAGTCCAATTTCCAAAATCTTTCATCTGAATTCATCAATTTCAGAGGCATTGAGATCATGGTTTTGTCGCAGAAGCTTCACGAGGCCTTCAAAGGAACTGTCGAGAGGATCACAGGGCCTCGAACCGTTTCCGCCTTCAAAGAGAAAGGCGTTCTCAGTGTCTCTGAGTTCATCGTCGCCGGTGATAATCTCGTCTCCAAGTGTCCCACCTGGTCTTGGTATTTCCATGTGAATTCTCTCCATTTTCCTGATCGAAGTTGTTTTATATATTTGTTGAATTTGTTCTTTTGCGATATTCGAAATTGATAGACGTGTTCTTCAACTGATGAATTGAACGGATGTCTCTATTAGAAGATTCCGTGCATTCATCAATTATATCAATTCTCTATCCCGAATCCTGTAATTTTTGTCAATTCTGTTTTCCAAGAGACTGAAGTCGTTTATGGCTGTTCGAACGAAACCAAGGTTAATTGGTCTAGGAGGTGAGGTCTGTGCCGGTGTCAAAGCCTTTTATTGTAAACTTCGATGAAGGAGTTTGGTTATCTCCGTTTTAGTGAATTGGAAGGGTTGGGAAAAAAATCTTTAATGATTTGATTTAAAATGCCTTCTGAATCAAAGGTTCTTGAGAAAGCTAAAGAGGAGAGTGGTACATATTGTGTGTAGAAAGGACATTAATAATAGTGATATCCCATTAGTGTTTCTTATTTTTCCTGAAACCATGACTACGACCTTCGTTTGACTTAAGTTTGTTATTTGTTTTTGAATTATAAAATTTAGTGGAACAAAATTAGAGTGGTATCCATTGCTTCTGTATGCGTACTTAGTTTTAGGTTCTTCATGGTTCGGAAGGGCAGTAATAACCCAAATGTCGACTATCCAGTGTATGTTATACACCGTCCTGTCCCTTTTTCAGGCGAAAGACAATGTGGATCTTTCCACAATTTAAAAAACTGACATTATTGGTGGTTCACTTTTACAGTTGCACTCTTAATTTTCTCACCTCCTGTATTTGGAATTAAAATTTGGAAATGTTTTGAATTTATCTAATACATGTTAAAATATGTTTTCCTTTTTCATGATTTTAGGGAGTCAGGTGATCTGAATAAGAGGAAATCATACTTGCCCCCAGATAAGCAATTCTTAATTACCAGAAATGGTATAACTGCATAATCATTAACTTTTTTTCTTTTCTTTTTTTTGTAATTCGAGGGGTTACAGTCAGAACCGTAATGTTTTGTAATTTTTCTGTCCATACCTTGTAGTTTATGTGCTTTTGACACTTACACTTCTCCTTCCCATAATCTTCTATTAATTTATGGTCATTTATCTGAAATATTGTTATGAACAAAAAGAATTTTGCATGTTATCAGGCCATTTTTCTAAACCATACTCTTTCTACTCATGCCTTAAAATTATGTCGCTCTCCACAATGAGACTTACACTTGGCAGGGAACCTAATCAATAGAAACAACTCACGTTTCAATACCAAACATGAATTACTATTTTCTGCAACATATAGTGCACCTTTGAGACACGGAGTTCAAGTTTGTATGTATATCTTTTCTAGAAATTAGTATTTAACCTGTAGCTAATTGCCAAATTAATTCTTTGGTAACTGTTTCAGCACCGGTAAGGTCAATTATATACTTTTTGCAAATAATGGTTTGGCGTTATGTCAAATATTGAATGAATTCTTTGGCATATCTAGACTTCAACTTTATTGAGCCATTATCAAAAGTAAGGATGATTGTTCACTTTCTTTCCAGTTCCTTGCCTTCGCCGGGCTGCCTATGTAGAAGAGGAGTATGAAGCTGCAGGTGGTGAAGTTTTACTTGATGAGGAAGATGGCGATGGCTGGCTGGCAACTCATGGCAAACCGAAGGGTACCTTTATCTTTCAGTGTAAAGCTAGGGATTTACATTTGTTTAATAACATGTGTTCTTTCATGCAGAAGAAAAAAGCGATGAAGAGGAAAATTTGCCTTCCCTGGAAACTCTTGAAATTAGCAGGACCAAGATTGTTAAGTCAATTCCAAACTATTTTGGTGGTGAAGATGAAGATGGTATTCCTGACCTTGCTGATATTGAAGAAAATGATGACGCTCTTGCAACTGATGCAGTATGTTAATTTTTATGATCCAATTTATGAGCAAATGTGGCTAAAAAATACTCAACTTTATAGGAGGGCCTACATAACCACCGCCCTCCCACCCCCATCCCCATGATCTCTTAATTTGCAAGGCATGGATTGTGGAAAATAATCTAGAATCTTTCTTGGCATCTCAACTTGTAAAAGTTTTCTTGAGTCTGATGACGAAAGTTCTTGCTTCATTATCATCATGTACACATTTACCATTTGGGATTAAAAACTCTTTATGATCATCCTGCATTGTTGTGATTTTGATAAGGTATTCATGTTCACATTTTCATTGTAGGCCACTCTGCCATTGACCTACCAAATTGCCCATGAACCTGATGACGATAATATCCTTCGAACACGAACTTATGATGTCAGCATCACGTAAGGCGGTCTCTTCTTTCTTGTTTTGTCTTTTTCGTAATTCTTCCAAAGATTCTTATAATGTATCTGTTGCATAAAAATGGATCAAAATTCTTGGGTTGGTGAAAAAAATCCTTCTTTCTAGCCAAAGAGGGAAGTTATGGCAAGAAAAATTGATGCAATTGGAGTAAATAGCATAGTAAGAGGGTAGTTAGAAATATCTCAGAAATGATCCCTATATGAAGCTTGAATTCAATTTGTGTTCTTCCATAATTATTTTCCTGTCTATAAAATTCTCCACTTTCTTCTACTCCAAATCTCCGAAGCACTGCAAAGACTGCCATTGGAAAGAGTTGTAACGGATTTGGATCAGATAGCCCAGATGCGGTTATTACTTTACGTTTGGTTTTCTTAGGCAGTCATTGTTATTGTTAATCACTTTGAAAATAATTATTAGCAAGTTCATTTGGAGCATTGGTGCACTACTTGGGGATTCAAATCTTTGCCATTTTTGTCAAGTAGGAAATTATCACTGTCGGACTTGGGATTTTTTCAGGGTTGGGCATATAGGTAATGTTCGTGGCTTCAACTTTAGTGGTCCTAGGTTTAAATCTTAAAAAATAGACATACTGGTTGATGATCTTGGCCTCAATGTGAGTGGTTCTGGCTTCTTGGCCCCGAAAACATTCTTGTGGTAAAAGGCTTAGGCTCAAAATGACAAAGGTGGATAAAAGGATGCATCTCATTTACAAACTTCTCTATCATCATCAATGGAAGACCGAGAGGTAAAATTTATGCCACATGGGGTCCCCGACAAGGAGATCGACTATCCCCTTTTCTTTTCATCATAGTAATGTATTGCCAGATAAAATGTTTTCAGATTGGTAATGAAGGCTTAAGCATCAACCACCTTCAATTCCGGACGACACAATACTCTTTTCTGACTTGGCAGATGCCTCTTCCATAAAAAACATGATCAAGATGGTAAAAACCTTTGAAGGATTCTCTGGACAAAATATCAATCTCCAAAAAAACAAAAAGCATGGTCATCAATATTAGCACAGAGATTATTGAAGAATTTTCTAGCATATATGGTTGTATAAAGGGAGAATGATCGAATATGTACCTAGGACTACCTCTAAAAGGAAACCACGAATCTTTCTCCTTATGGGAGGTTATTATTGAAAAAATTGAAAGAAGGCTTTCAACATGGTCATCATGTTATACTTCAAAAGGTGGAAGACTCACCTTAATACAAGCTACATTATCAAACCTCCCCACTTACTGCGTGTCTCTATTTGAAATGTCCATCTACACCTTGTTCGATGGAATATTATAAACCTCCCAATAGAAAAGGGAGATCTCGATCTTTTCTCGATAAAGAAGAAGAACAAAGCCCTCATCGCCAAATGGATATGGAGATATTATCATGAAGAAAAGGCCTTGTGGAGAAATCTTATAAAGGCCAAATATACTCTTACTTCAAACAAAAATCAACCCCTCCATCTTCTACAAAAGGGCCTTGGAAGTACGTAAGGAAACATCAAAACCTCATCACCAACTAAACTTGCCATAGGGTGGGTGATGGAGGAAGCACATCATTGTGGACCGACCCCTGGATTGAAAACACCATGCTAGCCTTGAGGTATCAACTTTTGTACAGATTCTCACATAGCAAAACAACAAGGATCAAAGAAACGTGGAATGTTGTCAACAAATTTTGGGACCTAAAGGGAATTATAATGAAGCAACGGAGTGTGCTGAATTAAGCCTTGACCTTGCCCCCGTGGTATTGTCAAATAAAGAAGACTCACTAACTTAGCTCCCTAGCACTGATAGGGTTCTCTACAAAATCCTTGATGATGGACATGGGGGAAAAAGTAGAAGCAATAAATACCATGCTAGCAAAGATAGTATGGAAAGGACATCATCGTAAAAAGATGAATTTTTTTCTTTGGAAAATAGCGCATAAAGCCATTACCACAAGTGAAAATCTTCGGAAAAAAAAGAAAAAAAAGGCTTATATCTCTCTTTCTCCAAATTGGTGTCCATTATGCGAGAAAGGAAGTGAATCACATAGCCACTTATTTATGCAATCACGTACGCTCTGAATTTCTGGACAACGATTCTCAATATATTCGAATGGCATCTCACATTTCTAGGGAGGTAAAGAGTCTATTGGACATGACCTTAATGTACCACCCTTTCAAGAATGCAAAAGCCCTACTATGAGAAAACCTCATCATGACTTTCTTTTGGAATCTGTGGAAAGAAAGAAATCAGAGAATATTTGCAGAAAAGACAAGACTTATACAAAACTTTTCGACAATGTTGTTTACCAAGCTATATCTTGGTGCAAACTGTCTAATATTTTTAATTCCTATTGGGAAGGTCTTTTGTAGACATCATGGATACGTCCCTTTTGTAAATTTCAATCTTCAGTGAAATTGTATCCTATGTAAAGAAAAAAAAAATGCAAGGGAATAACCATAGAAAAGGAATATGCCAAAAATATATCTGCAATAGCAATCCTATAAGACCATCTACTCTTTGGGACAAAGTGCCTATCATTATTGAATCATATCGTTTGTATGACGGGACTAAACTTGTAATTTGATCAAATTTTTTTCTATCTGATGATGCTATTTTTCTCTTATATCAGGTATGATAAATATTATCAGACACCACGTGTTTGGCTGACAGGATATGATGAGGTTTTGTATTTTTATTCTGTTTCCATTTCTAGTTTGGTAGAACTTTTGATCTTGTACATATAATCACCATGCATGCATTCTATTGCTATGCAAGTTCTTTTTCTTACACAACTTCTATTAGCATGCACGTATGTACTTAAATCAAGTATCTGTGAACTATGTCAGTCAAGGATGCTCTTACAGCCAGAACATGTGCTTGAAGATGTTAGTCAAGATCATGCACGAAAAACGGTAAGTTGTGATTATGTAATAATGTAGTTGTGCCATCTGCAAGAAATAAATTGATCCTGATATTAGGCCCATCATTTATTCCATGTTATTTTTGTTGCAAGTCTAAATTAGCTTGCTGTTTTTCTTTTCCTTTTGAGAGAGGTACATTTACCTTTTATACTATAAAAAAAGGTTAAATCTATGAATTATGAATTATCAAATTTGGATCCTTGTGGATGCGATAATCTATAATTTTACACATTATTAAGATGACCAGCAAGAATCCCTCTTGATGCATCCTGAACTCCTATTGTGGTGTCTGGAGGACCCATGCATTTGTTTTATTGATTTGCCCTTCCAACGGTCATGTGGAACATGATTTTCCAATTATGTTATAAGTTCAATCTTTGGACACAGGTGACCATTGAGGACCATCCCCACCTACCTGGAAAGCATGCATCTGTACATCCCTGCAGACATGGGGCTGTGATGAAAAAGATCATTGATGTGTTGATGTCCCGGGGCGTAGAACCGGAAGTTCACAAGTAAGTATTATGAACTCCTATTTAAAACAGCAGATCTAGTTTTGGTGACAATCTTTGCTTGTTCCTAACCAAGTATCTCAAGCTCCTCTACTTATTAATTGTTTTCTTCTATCTTTTGTAGGTATCTTTTCTTGTTCTTAAAATTTGTCGCGTCGGTTATTCCGACTATCGAATATGATTATACTATGGACGTTGATCTTGGAGGCCCTAGCCATCGATAACTGGGATTGATGAATATTGTAAGCACAACAGGATCGTAATTCCTTTCAACTTCCGGCATCTTAACATGCTTGTGTACATCCAAAGTGCTGCTTATTATTACTTCTAGTGTTTATTTGTTGGAGTTTGGTTGTGGGTCAAGTAAAACGTACTATTTCCATTTTCTCAACAAAAGTGTGATTTCTTGCCAAAAGAAATAGGTCCATTGCTTGAGAAAATTCATGCACTACTCAATCAGTCGTACAATATACACTTAAATTTTTCTTTCAGAATACGTGGGTTTTAAAGGCTCAACTGTTTGCACTCCTTAACTATATATGCTTGCTAATGATGTAGTCCATTCGAAAAGTTTTAAAATCAGAGATATTATGGCGTGTTGATTACTTTTTTTTTTTTTTTT